GGCATCCTCATGATTAAAAATAAACTTCATAAATCACTTCTGGGGGTGGTAACTGTCAGTTCCTAATTGAAAGGTGGTGTGGGCGCATTTGCGTAACTGTGACACGCTTTTGCTTGGTTTTCTAGGCTATAGAAAGCGCAATTGGTGGTAACGCGTATCAACACAGCAAAGTGAACCAATGGACCACAAATGTAGTAGAACAAACTTTAAGCCAACTCACCAAGCTGGGAAAACCGTTTAAATACATTGGTAATGGATTTTTGTTTCTTGTATATTTGGGGGATAGTTCTTTAACACCAGTCAGGTGTGTCCAGTACCAGAAATGACAGACAACGTGGCCTTACCTCAGGGAGTCGGTCGTGTGTGGAGTATACGTTAGCACACTTGACCGTTTGGCTGCTGGTACAGTTGCAGGGCGTATGTGAAGCAGGATCTTATAGGTTGTCCCATCAGATGCTTTTCGAACAGGTGAAGCATAGAGGAAGTGTGTACAGCCACCCACCCACCGCAACTGAGGATTTTTTGACTTTATGATGGATTTATCAGGGTATTAAGTGTATTTGCAACTTACGTTTTCATTTATTGTCAATTCATGATGGGTTTATGGGACATTGTAAGTTAAGGAGCACCTGTAATTTGTCAATATAGTGAAAGAAGGCGATCTGTCCCTATAGTTTTTCTCGAAAACATCAACCATGCGGAGCTATGTACATTTGCTAAAAGTGGACAAAATGACATTTATGTTGCCAAGTAGATTTCTCTAATAAAAGTTTGTTTTAACTCAAGTGACCTGTGTAATTATGCAGAAGAATGGAGCAGGATTACACACAGCAAGCTCCTGCTTCTGGGACAGCTCCACTGACGGTATGATCTTCATTCATGTTAGAAAAGTTTTGTGTGCATTTTCCCTGAAAGTTTTCAAGTCACTTCTTGGATCATGCTGATATATATTAACTAAAAGCAGTGTTTTGATTGGATGTTTCTTATCTTTGAATGCAATGCATGTTTAGCACCTTTTAAAACATTTCATGATAGACTTGCATAGCCTAGAGACAGGTACTTGACTGTTGGCCTTATTGTGAGTAGAACGTCAAGTCCGCCAGCTTTCCTTGTCTCAGATGCTACTCTGTCCTCCTGCAGGGAGCTGCACCGTGCGATGGGAGAATAAGACCATGTACTGCATCGTCAGCGCCTTCGGACTGTCTATTTGACCTGCAGTCCAGCCTGTGACCTTTCTCCTTTTGTCTCTAGTTCATCTTCTAACCACCAGCCATGAATTCAGTGAACTCTTTTCTCGTTCTCTTTGTGTTTTGTGGCACTCTCAAAATGTAGAGAAAAAAGCCAAATGACCGCACTGTGATGTGAACTGCACCGAAGTCAGACGAGTATCCCTGTAGGTCACCTACAGCTCGCGTTGCCACTTGTCTTAACTCTGAATATTTCTTTTCAAAGGTGCTAAAATCTGAAATCTGCTAGTGTGAAATTTGCTCTACTCTCTGAAATGATTCAAATACACTAATTTTCCATACTTTATACTTTTGTTAGAATAAATTATCCAAATCTAAAGTCTGTTGGGTTCTTTAGTCTATTGCATAGTATCATAAATGATTTCCTGGTATTTATTTAATGAGTGGCTTCAAAATCCCATAAAACTAAAAAAAAAGAAGTTGCAGTTCTGTTGTGGTCCTCTCCATGATGTACTCATTTCACCCATGGGACCAGGATCCTGAAGGCTCTGTTGGGTTCTGGTTAGATTCCACCCCTGGGCTTCACAGCCACCATTCTTAAGGGGTGGGAGGTGGGCAAGCCAGATTCTATTCTTCTCTTTAGCCAGAGAGCTCTAACTCACACTTGGCCCAAAGCTGTAACACCGTAACTGTTAATCCCATCTTCCCTGGAGCACTCACAGACTGTTTTAGTACTTCATAGCTTACAAAATGGCTTTCACAATCATTTTGTGTCCTCAACAATTTGCAGCCATTTAAAAATCAGAAAATGTGTTTGTAAGTTATCTGATGAGTTTAAAGCCACACATCCAAGAAAGCAGGGAGATGGGCCCAAACCCAGGACTCATTTCCATCTTCAGTGCTCTTCCTCAGGCCACGTTAGACATGGCAATAAAGGCACCTCCGTCTCTGCTTGCTGAAATGGAAAAGCTCTGCCATTGTCTCCAAAGCTGCTTTATTAAAGCATTTATGTCTGCAAGGCCAAATTAACTCCACACAAAAAGCAAGTCAGACAGAAAAGTGAATACTAAAAATTTATTAACATTTAGCAGAAGGGTAGTGTCAGAATTAAGCCATTCGCAAAACATGAACTTACCATAAACATTCATTTTTGCCTGATGACAGCAACAACTGTGATGGGGTGGCACTGTGCTCCACAGATAGTCCACACCCACGCACACGGCCCTACCTCTCCTTCCACAACCCAACACACGGCTCTACCTCTCCCTTTGGGCGTAAGGTTTAGTGTTATTTTTTACAAATATTTACAGTCATTTTGTAAAAAGGCAGTTTTCAGTAGCAGAAAATTCTTCTGTTTCATAGTATGGTTACCAGCGTTATCTCCAATGTCAAACCAAGATAAACAGCATCACAAGATGTCACAGATAAACACAACTTCCCTTCGGCCAGGGGAAAAGATGTGTATCTTTTTTTTTTCCCCCAAAAGTCCAACCTCTAAGGCAACTGGTTTCTAAAACACTCAAAATACGCAAATACACTTCATGTTTTAAGTCTCATCTTCACTACGTGTTCAGAGAGACATCCCTTTTGTGAGAATCTGTTTTTCCTATGATAAAGGATTCAGGAAATAATTTATCACATTATAACCTATTTAACACAACTACCCTCAGTAAATAGTTCATAAAATACTTGACGCTGGTGACATTTGTCTTGTAACCTCCCCATTTAGTGGGTTGGGTTTACATAATGTGTCTAGGCTTTGATTGCAATCTGCAATTATGTACAGTAACAACCTTACCGTGAATATCGTATGTATCTCCCCTTCTCTAGCCTTTCAAATGGGGCTTAAGAGAGAAAAATGGCACCACATCACTGCTGTAATGATTTAATAATAAATCAAGCAGACTTATTATCCACATGGATAACAAAGCTCTCCCTAGGGAAACTGAAATACCTCTGGTCATCTTCCAGTTCCCCTAGACTGGACCAGTATTAAAAAAATCCCAGAGATGATGTTACTCACACCATTACCATGAAAAAACGAAGTCAGCCCTTTCAGTTTGCAAAACTCTCCTCGCAGAAAGACAATTTTCTTGCTACTGTCAAAAGTTTCTGGTAGACTTTAGTGTTTTAACCCGATACTTATGGCACATATTCTACATGCCAGCTGCTATGGAGTTTAAGCAAAATTTTACATGGGGTGCGTAATATGTTAATATTTGTGATATACCAGGGAAGACAAGTTGAAAATACATGATAAACATTTTCCCCTTAAGTACTTTCCTTTTTCTGATTTCCAACTTAGTTACACAAAGTAAATAAATAATCCCATATTCTTCATTTCAATGATGCCATGAAGACTCAATGTATAAAGATAATAGTCATCAGTTTATAATTACAGTATAGGACAAAGATAAGTTTTAAAAAGTTCTAGTGTGTGTATGGCTAAATGCCTCAAATATTTTACATTTACTGATAAATAACAGCATTCCAAATCATGGATGATTATTTTATGATTAAAAGTTGTAAACTGTATCACAGAATATGTTAACCAGCACAAGTCTTCATTAGTTTACATAAAAGTATAGTTACAGTAGTCTTATTTAGAAGCTGTAAAATTTGGTAACAGACATTTTTTTTCAATCAAAAAAGTCATCACATCATTGCAAATTTAAAAATCATGTAAACTTGAGTTACCCTTGCAATAACACGTCTTAAATATTCATATTTACAAGATTTTTTAAACAAATGTGAATGGACTCCGTATTAAAAGTATCACTAAAGTTTAAAAGGAAAGATACAGAGTCATAACAAATAGTCTCTCATGAACATCTCTGAGATCCTAGCACTATTTAACGTGGATAATTTGAAGCTCTGCATGGTAATATGAGTCAGTGCATAGATGAAGGAAAAAATTGGGTACTCTTTGCATTTCGAACTATCATCTTCTGGACCTCAATTCGCCAAGACGGCATCAGTCAGGTTGCCCACAGTTACCAGATGTTAACAGAGGTGTGACTGTAGAGGTCAAGGGGAAAGCAAGGGAGATGTCCACACGAGACTTCTATATGGAGACCTTCACTAAAAGGAACGGGGAAGTTCCAGGGCCTTGTACGATGCCACAGATTCAGCAGTGCCAAGGACTTCATGGAGGAGGTTGTCCCTACCTGACTGCTGTGTGATACATGGAGGACAGGGAACCTCTTCTGCACAAGCTGCCTTCTACCCAACCAGGTTTCCCATGAACCATTTAAAACATTTTTCCTTTTGCTTCAAGATATGAATTTTAAAAACTTTTGCCAATAAAGAATCTAAAAATACCAGATATAGGTGATGGGGAGGAAGGCAGCAAATCACACTGCCACGTGTGTACCTATGCAACAATCTTGCATGTTCTTCACATGTACCCCAAAACCTAAAATGCAATAAAAAAAAGTTTTATCTTTCATTGAGCTTTACTTTTAGACAGGTTCTTGCTCTGACACCCAGGCTGGAGTGCAGTAGCACAATCATGGCTCACTGCAGCCTCAACCTCTAGGGCTCAAGCATTTCTCCCACCTAAGCCTCCTGAGTCGCTGGGACTACACGGGCATGCCCTAGCATACCTGGTTATTATTTTTTTTTTTTTTTTAATATTTT